CTGCCCGCCCGGGGTCCTGGGTGTGGGCTGGGCTGTGCTGGGCGGCAGCGCCGTCTCCCCTCCCCCAGGTGATCCAGCGCAGGGTGGACGGCTCCGTGGACTTCTACCGGGACTGGGCCGACTACCAGCAGGGCTTCGGCAGCCAGCTGGGCGAGTTCTGGCTGGGCAACGACCACATCCACGACCTGACCGCCCAGGGTAGGGCCCACGCCGCGGCCTGCGGGTGGGGGGCCCAAAACTCACCTGTCCCTACCTCCGACCTGGGCCACCTGGACGGAGCCCGCTCCTCTGCCCCCACACGTGCCGCCTCTGAGGACAGGAAGGTCCCAGCAGGAGTGGGGCGTCAGGTCCAGAGGAAGTGGGTTTGGGGGGCAGATGTTCTTCGGTCATGGCCGCTGTCATCTCAGAGGCCAACCTGGGGGGACATGGAGGCCCTCGTCGGGGTTCGGCCCAGCGCCCAGCCCTGCCCTCGCCGCCCACCGAGCCCCGTTCCTGAACACACATGGGAGACGGCCACTTCCTACAAAGCTGTGGTCACTCCCCCAACCCGGGAATGCCGAGGGCCCCTTCTCTCTGGGGCTGGAGGGAGGGCTGGGGTTTGGTTCGGGACCGTGGGAGTAGGTGCCCCCACCCCTCAGGGACCGGGACTTTCTGGGGGACCTTGAGGGTTGTCCTGGGTGCCCAGTGCAGGTCCCCTGAGCGTTAGCCACGTCCTGGCAGCTCAGGGTCCCTGCTCCCGGGACTGAGGCCCTGCCCCCCGCAGGCACATATGAGCTCCGTGTGGACCTGGTGGACTTCCAGGGCACCCGTCAATTTGCCAAGTACCAGTCGTTCAGGGTGGGGAGCGAGGCCGAGAAGTACAAGCTGGTCCTGGGCGCCTTTGCCGGGGGCACCGCCGGTGAGTGTTAGCCGCGTGATGGGTTGTGGGGATGGGCAGTGGGAGTGGGCAGTGGAGGGAGGACAATGGGGTGGGCAGTGGAGAGCGTCTGGGCGGGGTCCTGGCTCTGTGTCCCTGGGGCCTGGGCGGGGCCTTGGCCTCACCACGTTCCTCCATCCACACGTTGGGTTAACCCGCCTCAACCTGGATGCGCCCATGACGAGGGCGGGACACACGGTGACAAAGTGCAGACCCTGAGCGTCTCCCTCGTTACCGCCCGCATTGGAGCAGGGGGACAGGATGCCCGGGGAGCACTGCTCATGGCGCACGTCCCTCCTGTGGGGCCCGAGGGACCTGGACGTCTCGGGCAGTGGCGTCCCCTCTACGGGGCACAGTGCCGTTCGCTGGCGGCACACAGCAGAGGGGGGATACCGAGGCCGGGGATCCACCGACCGAGCATTCGATGGCGTGCGCGGCACCGTCAGACTTTTCAGCACATGACACCCAGCTGGACGGCTCCGGCCGGACCTGGTGCCCGCCCCTCCTGGCACTGAGTGTAAGCGTCCCCGCTTCTCCCCGGCAGGTGACTCCCTGACCTATCACAACAGCTCCCTGTTCACCACCAAAGACCAGGACAACGACAAGTACTCCACCAACTGTGCCGAGAGGTACCAGGGCGCCTGGTGGTATTTCACCAAAGACCAGGACAACGACAAGTACTCCACCAACTGCGCCGAGACTTACCAGGGCGCCTGGTGGTATTTGGACTGCCACCTGTCCAACCTGAACGGGCTCTACCTCGGGGGCTCCCATGAAAGCTTTGCGAACGGCATCAACTGGAAGTCGGGGAAGGGGTACAACTACAGCTACAAGGTGGCCGAGATGAAGGTGCGGCCCTAGTAGGGCCAATTGCCGCCCAGAGTGTCTCTGAGCAGGTCCCACGCCCCCCAGTACGGGCACACGAGGCCCCCACGCAAAGGCGGAGCTCGCCCCGGGCCTGCCCCTGGCCGGTCAGGAACCCTCAGCTTGGAGACCCCAACCGACTCCTCGCCCTTCCTCTCCCACGCATCCTCAATAAAGCTTCGCCTCCCTCCACAGGCACACCATGCCAGTCTATAAATATTTCTCTTTTATGCGACCAGCACAGCTAGAGAGCAAACAGGAGTCCTGAGTAGGGGTGACGGCCGATTGGGAAAATGAAAGAGACAGACACAAAGACAGTAGGGAAAGCCGGGACAGGGTGGGTCAGCTGCCCTCTGATGGAGAGACGGACCCAGAGCAGATACAGCGTGTTTATTTTATACAGTAAAGTTACCAGGAAGTTTTACTCACGTTTAAGATAAAGAAAATATGTGCATTCCTGTGGTTTCTTGTAATCGTCACTTCTGGATGGGCCTGGATAATCGTGTTTGTCCTGGTGCCTGGCTGGAACTCAGCTGCCTGGTGCCTGAGCTAAAGGTCAGACTGACAACACACCTGCCTCTATCAGGGTATGTTTCCAGGTCATGGGTCTGCCAGGTGTCACTGGATTCAGATGACAATCAGCTCAGGGACCTTTCTCAGG